CCGAGCGCGGCGTCTATGCGGGGCCATGGCGCAGGGCGGGCAGGTGCGCACCGTCCCCATCGACCTCGCTACGGGGGTGCGCACAGGGGGGTGGCTCCGAGCGCGGCGCTATTGCGGGCCATGGCGCGGGGCGCGGCAGGCGCGGCCAACTTTCTCGACTCGTAGGGGGTGCGCAGGGGGCGGTCTATGCGGGCCATGCGCGGCGTCTAGCGGGCCGGGCGGCAGGGCAGGGCAGGTGTCAGGCAATTTCCTTACGCCGGCCCAGGGGCGTTGCGCAGGGGGTGGCCTCCGAGCGCGGCATCTATGCGGGCTGGGGCGCAGGGCGTGGCAGGTGCGGCACTGTCCCCACCCCGTAGGGGGTGCGCAGGGGGTGGTCTCCGAGCGCGGCGTCTATGCGGGCCACGGCGCAGGGCGTGGCAGGTGTGGCGCTTACTCGACCTCGTAGGTGGTGCGCAGGGAGTGGTTTTCGAGCGCGGCGTCTATGCGGGCCATGGCGCGGGGCGTGGCAGACACGGCGTATCTCGACACCGCAAGGGGTTTGCAGGGAATGGTCCCCGAGCGGGGCGTCTATGCGGGCCATGGCGCAGGGCATGGCAGGCGCGGCGCATTCTCGACGCCACAGGGGGTGCGCAGGGGGGGGGTCTCCCTATCCGTTGCGGCCTCGCAAAGTGTGGCAGGCGTGGCACTTCCTCGACGCCACAGGGGGTGCGCTGGGGGTGGTCTCCCTATCCGTTGCGGCCTCGCATAGCGTGGCAGGCGTGGCACTTCCTCGACACCACGGGGGGTGCGCTGGGGGTGGTCCCCCTATCCGCTGCGGCCCCGCAAGGCGCGGCAGGCGCGGCACTTCCTCGACGCCACATGGGGTGCGCTGGGGGTGGCAACGGCCGCCAACATCATTCTCACATGCCTCACTTCAGCTATCATCTCTCCAGCCATAATATAAGTGCGCGGGTTTCCTCGGTAGCGTAATTTTCTCACGCCCTCTTCTTCGCGCAATCATCGGCAGGATAAGCGTGGGCGCGGCCGCCCGTCGGGCACCCCTTCCCGCGACAATAACACAGTGGGCACGAGTCCGCAGGCACGAAGTACATGCACTTACGATGCCTTTTCCACGCGCACGGGATCTGGAGCGCCGCCATTGGCAGGCGCAGCAACGACGGCGAGGACTGCTGGCTGGGCCGCACTACCGGCGGCAGACGAATTAGAAGCACCAGGCATAAGGCCACCGGGGGCGTCGCGTAGCGACAGCGGCACAGGGCAGGCTTGCGCGCCGACGCCTGCAGAAGCAGCACGTTTAGAAGGTGATACCGAAGACGCTGAAGACGAGCTCGACGACGAAGAAGCAGAAGAAGAACTGGAAGGTAAACCCGAAGACACCTCCACTTGGAGACGTTTGCGGTACTTGGTCAAGTTTTTGTTCACCTTGTCCATCTTCACTTGGAGCTTGGATTTCTCTGCCTCCAGCCTGCCGGTCTTTTTCTGGATACCGGGCGTGCCTTTCGGCATTGTGCGCGAGGTGATCGGCTGGGGCTGGCAAGTGCCACTTGTGCCAACATGCTGACGGACGATGGGGTGAGCCACGCGCCAGTATATTCAGCTACTGACGACGGCGTGAATCAAGTGCCGATGAGAAGTGATCGTACTTCCGACATGAAGCAACAGCGCCAGCATCAGTGCAATCGTCATTTTCAGCGTCAGCGTCGTTCGTCAACGTCATCGTCAGCGTCGTTTTCGTAATCATCATCATCACCCTCATCATCAAGATCAACCAGATCATCGTCATCAGCATCGTCATCGTCGTCATCACGATCATCATCCTCGTCGTCATCGTCATCATCATCGTCGTCGTCATGGTCATAATCGTTATCCTTCTCCTCTTCCTCCTCCTCCCCCTCATCATCATCATAAGCACCACCACCAGCACCACCATCATCGTCACCATCATCATCAGCAGCATCATCATCGTTGTCATCCTCATCCTCATCATCATCGCCACCATCATCACCATCATCCTCGTCGTCGTTTTCATCATCATCATCGCCATGGCCATTGCCATCGTAATCGTTATTATCAGCAGCATCATCGTCATCAGCATCATCATCAACGTCATCCTCAGCATCGTCGTCACCGTCACGATTGATGAACAAAGGGGCATCCTGGGCATCGTCATCCGCATAATTCTCATCACCAACGTTCCGAATAGCTGCCAGGGCATCCCATTGCGGGGATAATGTGAAATTCCACGAGCCCGCTGGGCGCAAGTACGATACGGGGTCATATATCCCCTCCTCCTCCTCTTTCCCCTTCTCCTCCTCCTCTCTCCTCCTCGTTCCCCCCTCCCCCCCTTCCTCCTCCTTGCTCCTCTTCTTTCCTCCTGTATCCTCCGCCTCCTCCTCCTCATCTCTCCTCCTCCTCTCTCCCCTCTCCTCCCCTCCTCCTCCTCCTCCTCCTCCTCTTCCTCCTCCTTATCCTTCCCCTTCTCCCCTCCCCCCACCCCCAACCCCCCCCACCCTCCCCACCCCCCCGCCCTTTTTTTTTTTTTCGTTTTTTTTTTTTGTGTTCTCTTTTTTTTTTTTTTTTGTTTCTTCATTCTTTTCTTTATTTGTTTCCTCCCTCCTCCTCCTCCTCCTCCTCCTCCTCCTCATCCTCATCCTCCTCCTCCCCCTCCTCTTCCTCCTCCTTCTCATCCTTCTCCGTCTCCCCATAGACGCGATGCTTCAAACATGCGCGTATCTGTTATGCAGTGCTATGCTATGATATTCGATGCCACGCAATGCTACGCCTCAAAACCAATGCAATGCCATGCTCTGGCATGGAATGCGATGCTATGCAATGTTATGACGTGTTATGAAGTGCTCTGCTATGTATGCTGCGGTGCAGTGCTATGCAGTGCTTTGCTCTGCCATGGCTACGCAGTGCTATGCCTTAGTATTATATGCAGGGCCTTGCTATGATACGCTATGAAGTGCGATGGAGGAGGCGGCCGGTACCTTGAGTACCATTGAGGTATGCCCAGGCGGAAAGGTGGCGGAAGGGTGGCGGAAGGGCTGCGGACGCGCGGCGGAAGGGCGCGGCGGAAGGGCGGCGGCAGGGCGGAAAGGGCGGCGGAACGGCGGCGGAAGGGCGGCGGAAAGGTTGCGGAAGGGCGGCGGAAGGGCGGCGGAAAGGGTGGCAGAATGGCGGCGGCAGGGCGGCGGAAGGGTGGCGGAAGGGTGGCGCAACGACGGCCGAAAGGCGGAACAGGCGGCGGGGGGCGGGGGGAAAAGCATTGGAAAGACGGCGGGGTTCCCGAGCCGTCACGGAAGGATTTCCATGGAATTTTTGCAGATCCTGGAAATAGAAAAAACCAGAACCCAGAAACTGAAGAAAAACCGAGGCGCAAGGACCCCAGGAGTCGTTGAAACTCGAAGATTTCCCGGGATCCATAGAAATCAAAGAATTTATATAAACCCCGAACTGTAGGAAATCAGAAATCCAGGAACGTGGCATGCGGAATCCAGGATTTTAGAAATCTCAAGAATCCAGGGAAACTTAATAGTAATATTTTCGGAATCCTTAGGAATCTTTTCGGAATCCTAAGGTGTCCTTAGGAATCTTTTCGGAATCCTTCGGATCTCCAGGAACTCGTAGGAATCCTTCGGGAATCCCCAGGACCCCCTGAGGAACCTTCGGAATCCTCACGGCCCCCTGAGGAACCGCTGGGAATCCTGAGGGTTCCCTTAGGAATCATCGGGGATCTTTTGGAACCCGCAGGAACCCGTCAGGAATATCTGAGAATTCTTGGGGGTCCGGAGAGGCGGGTGCGAAACGGTGTACATAGCATCATATTCCGATACCCTGCCCGCTCTGTCGGAGCCTCCCTTGTGCCCCCTTTTCCTATCCATTTTCTCTCCCTGTCCCTTCCCTTTTTCAATGTTCCATCGCTTTTCCTCCCCATGTCCTTTCATGTTCCCTCCCCTTTTTTTTTCCTTCCCCTATCCTTATCCCTCCTTTTGTCCCTCCCATTGTCCTTCCCTTCTCCCTCCCTTTTCCGTCCCTTTTCCCTTCCTTTTTCTTTATTTTTGCCATTCTTTTTCACTCCCTTTTCCCTCCCTTTTTCAATTTCTTTTCCCTCCCGTTTCCTCCCCTGTCCTTCCATTTTCTATATTTTTTCGTAATTGTTCCCTCCCGTTTCCCTTCCTTGTCCTTCCTTTCCCTACCGTTTTCCCTTCCTTGTCCTTCCTTTCCCTACCGTTTTCCCTGCCATTTTCCCTTCCTTTTCCCTTTTCCTTCGCTTTCCTATCACTTTTTCCATATCTTTTCCCTTCATTTTCCTCCCCTGTCCTTCCCGCCCTTTTTCCTGCCTTTTCCTTCCCGTTTCCCTCCCTTTCCCCCCACCCTATTTTTCCTTTTTCCTTCTCTTCCTTCCCTTTTCCTTCCCTGTTCCCTCCCTTTTTCTTTCCTTTTCCTGTCCCTCCCTGTTTCTTCTCATTCCTCCCTTTTCCCCCCTTTTCCCTCCTCTTCCCTCCCTTTTCCTCCCCATGTCCTTGCCTTTTTCCATAATTTGCTCCATCTCTTTTTCCATCCTTTTTTCCTTTTCTTGTCCCTCCTTTTTCACTCCCTTTTCCCTCCCTTTTCCTCCCTTTTCCATCCCTTTCCCTCCCTTTTCCCATCTCCTTTTCCTCCCTTGTTCCCTGTCTTTTCCCTCCTTTTCCCCTCCCTGTTTCCCTTTCTTTTCCCTCCCTTTTCCTTCCCGTTTACTTTCCTTTTCCCAACTTTTTGTCCTTCCCTGTCCTTCTCTTTTGCAACCCTCCCTTTTCGCTTTTTCCCGGGCCGAATGAAGGACAGGGGCGGCCCGCGGAATCAATTAACTCCGGAGTTAAGTGTTTTTGCGGCTGGGTGGAAGCAGCATTCATAGAGTGACTTAATTTCGGAGGTAAGTCGTCGTGAAGGTGGTAGCAATACAAAAGGAGAGAATCACTTAACTTCGGAGTTAAGTGATAATTACCTTCCTGGTTTCAGTGTTTTTCCCGCGTGCCTTCTGCTCTGTTCGAGTTTCGGCCGCTCTCGTGGGACATAGCACCGAGGCTAGCATAGCAATTCTGTGATATAGTGAGCGTGCGAGACCGCCGCGGGGGCAACAGGTAACCACCCCGCCGCGGGAGCAATAGGTGACCAGCGCGCTCCTGGAGGGAAGTGCAGATGATAATCCTATGGCGTTGTGAAATAGCATGCCCCCGTACCTGATCGTTTCTCACGCTCTGTGTGCATGTGTGCCGCTTTGGCTGCTAGTAAGTCAGATAATGTCCCCCGTGGAGTCCCCATTCGTCGGGGTCGCGTGGGCGAACCTGGAACCGCGATGGCTCCGCCGGCGCCGCCCCATGCCTAGCGGCCCGCCCGTTAGACAAGCACTTACCTCAGGCTCACTGTGCCGGGGGTTTTCAGATTCGGGGCAATGTTTCGAGTCCTCGATTTGCATTTCGGGAGGAGCATCACAGCGAGATTCTGGACCGTTCAGGCGACATCGGCGCTCCAGGTGGCAGTCAGTCAGTCAATAAATCTTTCCTCCTCCTCCTTTCTCCTCTTTCCTCCTCCTGAGCGGCAGAGTGTCAGAGGAGGAAAATAGGTTCGGAGTGTGCGCGAACGCGCAATACATCTGCATTGATTCTCCCGCCCGATGCAATGGATCCGGTTCGGGCTGTTCTGAAAAATCATGTTGACATGTTGCAGATCACTTCCTGTTCTTCGTCCAGGGATCAGCATTGGTACCTCTGTTGGTGTTCGTCGTCGTCGCCCGCAGAGAGAAAACACCTTCAGACGTCGGGCCAGCGCCCGCCCGATTCACTGAGATTTCAGACATCATCGTCGTCGTCTGTCGTCGTCCGTCGTGCGTCGACGGTCGTCCCTCGACGTCGTCCGTCGTGGGTCGTCGGTCGTGGGTCGACGGTCGTCGTCGTCGCCGCCGGTCGTCGATCGTCGATCGTCGTCGTCGTCGTCGTCGGTCATCGGTCATCGGTCGTCGGTCGTCGGTCGTCGGTCGTCGGTCGTCGGTCGTCGGTCGTCGGTCGTCGTCGTCGATCGTCGTCGATCGCCGTCGTCGTTGTCGTCGTCGTCGTCGTCCGTCGCCCGCAATTGCCGCTCGCCCCTCGCTTGGGGCGCCGGCGCGCGGCCAAGGGTTCTTGTGAGCTCCAGCCAATGGTCAGAGGGGGAAGGGGTACCCAGGCTGCTGCCCTTCCCTCGTTTTCCCCTTTCTGGGCCACCCGGGAGGCGCTCGTCGCCACTGCTGAGTTCGCCTCGAAATCATGGTCAGAGCGCACCCCAGGAGAGGTCCGGGGAGTAGCGGTATCGGCTTCTCATCGGCGCCACGAAGACGAGGGAGGAGGTGGGCAAAAGTGGAGGAGAGGCACAGGGGGAAGGGGAGGGGCAGGGGCGGAGGGTGTGGCAACTGTTCCCCCGTCGGCATCGCCGGCCAGGCTCCGCACTGCTCGTGACCGCCTCCAGCTACGGACCTCGGGCCGGGCCAGAGGCGGGGAGCCTCGGGGACGGTGGTCGGGCAGGGCCATGGCGAGGGCAAATCCGTTCCAGAGCGGCTTGATTGGATCCTCGTCCTTGAGTCGAGGGAAAGACGGGAGCCATGACCAACATGTCCCCGGAGCTGGTCGATGCAGAGCTTGGTGATGGTCCGTGTCGGACCTCGTGGGTTCGCGGGGGTGCTCCACGAATTGACGCTGACCAAGGTTGACAGTGACCGAGAAGGGCACGATTTTTCCGCGTTCAGTCTCGGTCATAGTCCCCATTCTTTTTCCCTCCAGACAGGATCATGACAATGAAACTATGTTCGCAAACGCCAACGCGCACAGTACAGTGGACATGTTTCGGTGTAGGCTGACGAGCGTGAGACGCTCAACAACACATGCGCACTATGTGTCGGGGGAGTGACTGTATACCTTTGTTTATGTATGTGCGGCTCCCAGCAACGTAAGACTCGAGTTTGCCAGCATTCGGTTTTGCTACTGGCTGATGACGACCACAATATCATTTTGACGGCCCAGTGTTAGTGAGATGTTCTCATCGGGAGGTCGCGTCAAATTGCAGGCTACCGAGGAAGCGCAAACATGGATTAAGGCGCGTGTGTTAGCGACGGGTCCCGCTTCCATAAAATCTCGACCGGCTCCGTCGCCAAACCGAGCGGCACTGGTTGCATGATTCAAGGAAGAGTTTGCCCGATCCGTGGATCTGGCGTCTACGCCCCCGATCCACGGATCCCTGATCCATGTCAGCGGGTGCCCGAGGTCAGGGCTTGTAAAGATCTGAGAAGCCCGACAGAGAGTACACTCTTTTTAAACACGAGTCGCCGATCTGCCTTGCCGATTTGCACCTCTAGCGGTGCGACAGGGAGGAGTGATTACAAGGAGAAGCAGCAGGGAGGAGTGATTTGCCGTAGCCCCCGCATTTCGGATACGAGTGAGGGGGCAGCGGGGTACTCGGCGGTCTGCGAGGCTCTGATGAAGCCCGCCACAGGCGCTTTGTCGTTCAAAAAATAGAATTATCCTGGCGAAGGACCCAACCATATGCAGTTGTGAGTATCGCAAGTGTGAGTATCTTCTTCGGTGGCGCTCCCTATGGGGCCACGAACCGCATGAGGGGTGCGCCGAAATGTGGCGGGGTACACAACGCAAAGGAATACGATAGATCTGATTACGAGAGAAAGAACGCGGGTGAGTCAGAGCGCGAGGGAATCTGAGTATGAATGGGTCTGCGCGCGAGTGAATATATTTGCATGAATGCGATCATGGAACCGCCTAGTGTAAGTGTCGAGCATGCCTGTCCGAACGCACGTGACACTCGGCGTGGCCGCCGCAGGCAGCTTCCGCAGGAACCCCGACGGCAGCGTCCGCACGTCGCGACGCCCATGTCGGCACGCCTCTTGCGAGGATCGCGCCCGCTTTCGGCTCTTATTTTCCTTCCTCTTTGCCCGCGCACTCCAAAATCCAAGGCTGCGGGCGCAGCGCAGCGCGGAGTCCCCGCGACGCGCGCCGGTCGCCCCGGGCGGGGTCCCAGCGACGCGCGCGGGTCGTCCGCTGCGCGAAGCAGAGAGAGCTGACTAGCTAACTGGCTGGCTGATAGCGGGCAAGTCTCTGACCGCTGGGCAGAGCGACGACGGGCGAACGAGGCGCCGGGCCCCCCCGCAGCACGGAGCTCCCGCGACGCGCGCCGGTCGCCCCGAGGGGGTCCCAGCGACGCGCGCGGGTCGTCCGCGGCGCGAGGCCAAACAATTAGTCGGGCAGTCGAGAGAAGGCCCGGCTCGGGGGAGACGCTCCTCAGGTCAGGCCTCGCGGATGAACTCGGTGAAGCCGAGCTCCCTGGCGAGGGCCGTCGCTTCCCTCCTGCGCCGCTTCGTGCGCGCCGCAAACTGCTCCAGCTGCTTCCGCAAGCCCTGCGGCGGCCCTGCCAGGAAAAACTCGACGCGCGGCGCCCGCATGAGCAGGAGGTCCTCGTGGCGCGTGGCGCGCGAGAGCAGCGCGTAGAGCTCAGCCACCAGTCGTCGTCCTCCTTCTTGCCGTTCCCTACCTCGTGGCGGCCGCAATCCAGGATCACGCCTGGGCGACGTCGACCGAGGGAGCAGCGCGCCGGGCAGCCGACGGCCCAGGGCGAGATCCCACAGGACCGAGAGATGGTCTGGCCGCGGACTGCTCGCGCCCCGGAGGTCTGGCCGCCCCCGGAGCGCCGTTCCCCCGCCCCGTCGCCTTCGCGCATGGTGCGCCCCTGGCACGCCACCGTGGTGATGACCCTGCCGTGCGAGAAATGCGGGGTGTGTGCCGGAATGGGTGGGGGTGACGCATGCGGCCGCGTGCACTGGGGCCTTCGGTGGAGCTCCCTATGGAGCCACGAAACGTGTGAGGGGTGTGCCGAAATGGGTGTGGGTGACGCATGCGGCCGCGGGCACTGGGGCCTTCGGTGGAGCTCCCTATGGAGCCACGAAACGTGTGAGGGGTGTGCCGAAATGGGTGTGGGGGACGCATGCGGCCGCGGGCACTTGGGCCTTCGGTGGAGCTCCCTATGGAGCCACGAAACGTGTGAGGGGTGTGCCGAAATGGGTGTGGGGGACGCATGCGGCCGCGGGCACTGGGGCCTTCGGTGGAGCTCCCTATGGAGCCACGAAACGTGTGAGGGGTGTGCCGACATGGGTGTGGGGGACGCATGCGGCCGCGGGCACTGGGGCCTTCGGTGGAGCTCCCTATGGAGCCACGAAACGTGTGAGGGGTGTGCCGAAATGGGTGTTGGGGACGCATGCGGCCGCGGGCACTGGGGCCTTCGGTGGAGCTCCCTATGGAGCCACGAAACGTGTGAGGGGTGTGCCGAAATGGGTGTGGGTGACGCATGCGGGCGCGGGGACTGGGGCCTTCGGTGGAGCTCCCTATGGAGCCACGAAACGTGTGAGGGGTGTGCCGAAATGGGTGTGGGTGACGCATGCGGCCGCGGGCACTGAGGCCTTCGGTGGAGCTCCCTATGGAGCCACGAAACGTGTGAGGGGTGTGCCGAAATGGGTGTGGGTGACGCATGCGGCCGCGGCCACTGGGGCCTTCGGTGGAGCTCCCTATGGAGACACGAAACGTGTGAGGGGTGTGCCGAAATGGGTGTGGGTGACGCATGCGGCCGCGGGCACTGGGGCCTTCGGTGGAGCTCCCTATGGAGCCACCGAAGCGTGTGGCGGGGGTGCCCGAAGCGCTGTATTGTTGTGGGGGACCGCATGCGGGCCGCGGGCCTGAGGGCCTTCGGTGGACGCTCCTATGGAGCACGAAACGTGTGAGGGAGTTGACGAAGTGGGTGTGGCTGACGCATGCGGGCGCGGGCACTGGGGCCTTCGGTGGAGCTCCCTATGGGGCCACGAAGCGTGTGAGGGGTGTGCCGAAATGGGTGTGGGTGACGCATGTGGGCGTGGGCACTGGGGCCTTCGGTGGAGCTCCCTATGGAGCCACGGAAAACGGTGAGGGGGTGCCGCGGGTGCCGAAAGGTGTGGGGGAAGCAATGCGGCCGCGGGCACTGGGGCCTTCGGGTGGAGCTTTTTTTTCCACCATTTCTTTTCTGGTTATCCCTATCGGAGCCACGAAAACGTGTGAGGGGGTGCCGAAATGGGTTGTGCGAAATGGTGTGATGATGATGATGATGATGATGATGATGATGATGATGTGATGATGATGATGATGATGATGATGATGATGATGATGGGAGGGGGGAGGAGGCAGCGGGAGGAAGGAAGGAGAACGCGGGGCACCGTCTCTTCAAAACGAGGACCCAACACCACAGGATGGTTGGGAAAAAATAGTCAAACCAACAACCAACACATTGGACAACGCACGCGCCCGCCGCAGGCGCCGAATTTTTGTCAAAGCTAGCTGTATGTCTCGCGGGTGGGTCGCGGATGGGTCGCGGGGTGGCCCGCGGGGTGGACCGCCGGGTAAGTCGCGGGATGCGTCGCGGGTGGGTCTTAGGTGTGGACGACAATAGCAACAACCATTTTAATTTTGTTCGCTCTCATCTGCTCGCGTGTCATTCAACATGTATGTCCCAAGCCCTCGATACCCGCCACCTTCGTCGGGCGGGCGGCAAAACAAGGCGGGCGGGTCGGGCGGGCGGGTTGTTAAGGCGTCGGTCGTGCATGAATCGCGGGGGAATTTCCAGCAATAGCTCGATTCTCAAGTAAATCGATCGGAAATTCAGATCGGGATAGTGATTCCGGGGTGTCGAGGGTGCGGCGTCTCCATAAATTGCGAGGAAGTCCTACGCGATAGCGCGATTTCTGCGTAAGTTGTGAGGGAGTATCTGGCGGCAGCCGCTGTTTTTTTGTTTTGTTTTGTTCCCAACCATCCTGTGCTGTTAGGTTTTTGAATTGAAAGACAGCACCCCGCGTCCCTCCTCCTCCCGCTGCCCCCTCCTCCCCCCCTCCTCCTTCCATCCTATCCCTGCCTCTACCCTCCGCATGTCAATATTTCGGCACACCCCTCACACGCTTCGTTGCCCTATCGGCAGCTCCACCAAAGGCTCCAGTGGCAGCGTCCGCATGCAGTTCCACCCATATTTCGGTGCACGGAGCCCCACCGAAGACCCTAGTGGCAGCGCCCGTGTAGGGTCCCACCTTCGATTTTGGCACACGCCTCACACGCTCACACGCTCCGTCGCCGTGGCCCCATACAGAGCTCCACCGAGGGCCCCAGTGGCAGCGCCCGCGTGTAGTTCCACACTCGATTTCGGCACACCGCTCACACGTTTCGTGGCCCCATGGAGAGCCCCACTGAATGCCCCAGTTGCAGTTCCCGAATGCGGTTTCATTTTCCATTTCAGCACACCCTTCACACGTTCCGTGGCCCCATAGAGAGCTCCACTGAAGGCCCCAGTGGTAGCGCCCGCATAGGGTTCCACCTTCCATTCCGGCACACCTCTCACACACTTCGTGGCCCCATAGGGAACTCCACTGAAGTCTCCAGTGGTAGCGCCCGCATGCAGTTCCACCATCATTACGGCACACCTTCAACGCGTTCCGTGGCTCCACAGAGAGCTCCACGGAAGGCCCCACCGGCAGCGCCCACGTGCGGTTCCACCTTCCATTTCGGTGCATTTCTCACGTTTCGTGGCCCCATCTAAGGTCCGACGAAAGCCCCAGTGGCAGCGCCCGCATGCGTTTCCATCAGCCATTTCGATGCACCAGTCATTCGGTGCGTGGCCCCATACAGAGCTCCACCTGAGGCCCCAAAGGCAGGGCCCGCATGCGGTTCCACCCTCCATTTCGGACAACCCTTCACACGTTTCCTTGCCCCTTTGGGAGCTCCGACGAGGGCCCCAGGGGCAGCGCCCGCATGCGTCTCCACCCCAATTTCGGTGCACCCCTTACACGCTTCATGACCCCATAAGGGAGGTCCACCGAGGGCCCCAGGTGGAGCGCCCTCATGGGGTTCCACCTTCCATTTCGGCACACACCTCTAACGTTCTGTGGCCCCATGCCATAGGGAGCTCCACCTAAGGCTCCAGTGGCAGCGCCCGCATGCGGTCCGTGACCCCATAGGGAGATCCGACGAAGGCCCCAGTGGCCCTTGTTGCTGGCCCCTCTCCTTCATTGCATTGTCCTGGCGATGCTCGAAGACCCCAGTGGCGCAGCGCCTGCATGGTGGCCCAGCCATATTTCGGCAAACCTTTCACGCGCTTCGTGGCCCAATGAGGAGATCCACCGAACGCCATACTCACAACGACGGCGCTCACAACTCCATATGGTTGGATGTTTCGTCAGTCTAACTGTCTGTATTTTCCTGGCCGATTATTCAGTCTGAGGCGCTTCCTTCGTGAAAACAGGATGCTGGCCCCAGGAGGTGCATTTTATTACATTCAACACAGTGTGGACTGGAAGGGGGGATCAACAATGTGCCTTCTTTGGAAATGAGAAGGCGACCAACAAACAACAAGCAGAATCCGCGCCGCGGTAGCCTACTTCGACCGCGCACCCTGGGACGCAGGGGCGCTATAAGAATTGTCGGCACCCCCACTCTGACATGAAAGAGTCGACGGCGCGCCTAGGCGGGGGGGGGGGTAGAGGGGGCGTGCCGTCCAAGAAGGCTCAGAAAGCCTCCAGCCTCTGAGAAGCTCTCGAAGCCTTCCCCGACGCCGCAGAGGACCTCACAGAAGGCCGGATGGCTTCTGGCTTCTGAGAAGCCCCGCGGTCTTCTGAGATGCCCGGCCCCCTCGCGCTTTCTCCTTGGGCACTCCGCCGAAAGCCGCTTAACATCGGCCCCCAAACCCCTCCTTCGGTAGCACATCATGCGAGCTTGGCATGCCCTTTTTAAATCCGTCTTTTGCGTCGATTAGCGTCGATGAGCGTGTGGGAGTCGATGAGACAGCGCCGATTTAGCGTCGGTGAATGTAGATTAGCGTTGATTTAGCCTCGATTAGCAACGATTCAGCGTCGACTAGCGTCGATTCGCAAGAGCCGACAAGGATTGCCACCGAACCCTCCCGGGGTCCATCCCCGCTTGACGCGGATCCAGCAGTGGCGACGAGGCGCCCCCACGGCGAGGCCCAGGAAGAGCAGAGAGAGAGCCCGGGCAGGCCGCCGCGGCATCGACCTCGATTGGCCCTCGATCCACCCTTCCCCCGTCGGCGCGCCGCCAAACGAGAAGCGGAGGATTCAGGTACTCCTCCTCCTCTTCTCCCTCCTCCTCCTCCTCCTCCTCGTCCTTCTCCTCCTTCTCCTCTTCCTCCGCCTCCTCCTGCTTCTCCTCGCCCTCCGCCTCCTCCTCCTCCTCCTTCTCCTCCGAGCTCACTCCTCCTCCTCCCCTCCTCCCCTCCTCCTCGTCCTCCCTCCTCCTCCTCCCCTCCTCCTTCCACCTCCCTCCTCCTCCCCCTGCCCCCCCCTCCTCCTCCGCCTCCTCCTCCTCATCCTCCGTCTTCTCTCTTCCTCCTCTTCTCCTCCTCCTCTCTTCTCCTCCTCCTTTCCCTCATCATCCTCCTCCTCTTATCCTGCGCCTCCTCATCCTACATCTCTGTTCTCCTCCCCGCTCATCCCTACCCTCCTCCTCATCCTCCTCATCCTCCGCCCTCACTCCTCCTCCCTCCTCCTCCTCCTCATCCTCCTCCTCCTTCTTCCTCCTCACTCCCTCCTCCTCCTCCTCCCCCTTCTCCTCCTCCTCCTCCTCCTCCTCATCATCATCCTTTCGGCTACGTCGCATCCTCCTCCTCCTCCTCCGCGCTCACTCTCCCTCCCCCCCTCCGCCTGGGCCGCGAGGATGTATCGCCCTGACTTCGCAGACCTGCAGCTGTCGCAGGCGCACCCCCGCGCGTGGGCGCCCCCCCCTTGGCATCGCTCGGACGTGTGGATTGTTTCTCGGCGGGAACCTTCGAGGAACATTTTGAGCCACCTGGCGAAACATACACGCGCGAAGCGAAACAATTCACCAATAATGGACGTCTGAGCGATGGCGAGCCCCCGCCCTGGCCTGTCTTGTTTGTTGTTGTGCTGGGACGGGGGGGGGCTGCGCCGCAGCTTCGGGGGCCATCCAGGACGATGCGAAGCGGACAGCTCGGGGGGGGGGGGTCCGATCTTTTCAACGGGCTGTCCTGCCTCGGAGTACCCTTCAGCGGCTGCGCCTCGCCGAGAGCACTCCGAGGGTGCCCGGATCGTCCCGAACAGCCGCCAGATGACCGAGGCATGACCCGAAAGCCGAGACCAAGCGGGGGTAACGTGAAGAGGGGTCGGGCTTAGGTCATCAAGAACAAACCTACCCCTAACCGTACTAACACGATGAAGACGTGGCCTTCTTTAGGTCCCCGGTTTTGCATTTGGGATTTTGTTTTTTGGGTCTTTATACATCCGGTGAATTGGCCCCTTTATCCCTACTGTGCTGGCTCTCCTGACTTGGGTCTCCTCCCAAAAGGTGAGTGGGGCGCGTCCCCCTACAAGAAGACTGACTTAAAATAATTCGTTTTAAATACTATGGTGGCGAATTCCCAAGGCATCTTCAAAAGATTCAAAGAATAGTTTGGACATTGTCTCCTTGACAGGATCTTCGCTAGCAGACGGCGCACGCGTCTGGAAAACATGCTGCGCCGCGTAGCGTCGTTATGACTTGTTGCGCCGCTCGCGGTGGCGACAGCGCTCGCTACCGCGTTTTGGCACGCGTGCGCTTTTTCAGCGGAGTGGTTTGTGCACAGCGCACAGTGAGGACCGATTGCGCTTTGCCATCGCGTGCGGGATGGCGCGGCGGGGCCATTAGAAACCGATGCGACGCATCATCTTTTCGGCGATCACCCTGTTGACATTCGCTTGTGGCTTCGGGGGCCCAGGGTCTGCGTTTACATTGTTCGTCCCCACAGCCGCTACCATCGCCCGAACAGGCTCTGCGGCCGCTAGAATTTACATTTCATGGCAAAGCATATTATATTCCTCCACGCATATCGTCCCAATGCCTGTGTACCTTCTTCGCGCATCAAACAAGTTATGGTTTTCCTTCCTGTTTCCTCCCTTCGCTCCTCCTTCGACCGTTTCAAACAGTCGCTGTTGGTCGCGTTTGCTCCCCGTGATTCTCCGAGATGCCATGGGATGTCGTTTTATAACCGCCGCTTTTCGGGCTGGATTGCAAGACGTGCGTATCGTTTCGTTCGCTTTCACGGGTTTGCCAGCGGCGGGGTTTCCAGTCGCGCCGGACGCAACGAAACGCGCAACGCTCCAATCGGACGTCTCTGAAAACATGGCAAGTGACAGGATGGCGCCAAAAAGCACGTCGCAGGAACAGTCGCAAGAGTTTGCGCGAGGCCCCTGCTGCAATCCCACGGGGCGCGCGCCGCCGCCGCGACTGCGCCGAAACACTGCGACGCGCCGTCATCAAGCACCGCCTCTGTGAACGAGGGCCGCCTGCAGCGCAGGAAGAAAGGCTCCGTGGGGGGAGCGCGTGCTGCGGCATTGTCCCCCATGCGGGCCAAAACAGGTTGACCTGGCCGCCTGCTTTGGCAAGTGGCGACCAATGCGCCACGGCGCGCGCGCACGCGCGCCCGTGATCGCTTGGCATCTGGCACGCTGGCATTTGCAGAGTCGATAAGTTTTCACATGCATCATGTTGAAATGGCTGCGCCTTCCAACCTGAAAATGAAATCCAACATTGGGTTTTGACCACAGGGTTTCCGATTTGAAAATCGCAGCCCTTTGTATAGAATCGTAGACGCCACGCCGCAAGCGCGCGCGCATGGGCGCCTGCCATCTCGCGCGCTTGTATTGCATCGCGTATACGTTTTCATATGCACCACGTTGAGATAGAATGCCATTTTGCATTGGTTTTGACCATTGGGTTTTCAAATAAACATCGCCGCCCATGGCGTAGAAACGCTAGCGCCACGCTGCCAGCGAGCGAGCGCGCGGGCGCCTGCCACCTCGCGCGCTGGCATTGCATTGTGCATGCGCTTTCCTATTCACCATGTTCTGGTGGCTGCGCCTTACGATCCGAGAATGATGCATTTTTTCAGGTTTTCACCATTGGGTTACAGAGTAGACATCGCAGCCCAACTTATAGAAACGTATGCACCCTGCCGCGCGCGTGGGCGCCTGCCATTTCGCGCGCCGGCGTCGCATTGCGCACGCGTTCTCACCGCGTTGGGATGGCCGCGCCTTCCGATCAGGGAACATTGGGTTTTGACCATTGGGCTTTCGACTTAACATCGCCGCCCATGGCGTAGAAACGCATGCACCTCGCCACGCGCGCGCGTGGGTGCCTGGCACCTTGAGCGCTGGCATTGCGTCGTTTATACCTTTACATATGGGCCATGCTATGGCGGCTGCGACTTCCGTTCCGCGAATGAAATCTTACATTGGGTTTTGACCATTGGGTTTCTGATTGGACAACACCACACATCATTTAGAAACGCATGCGCCACGCCGCGAGCGCGCGCGCATGGGCGCCTGCCATCGCGCATGCGCTTCCATATACAGCACGCTGAGATGGTCGCGCCTGCCGATCAGAGGATGCAAATTTCCATCGGGTTTTGGCCACTGGGTTTTCGAGTTAATTAACGTGGCCGCTTGCGGTGTGAAAATTCATGCACCGCGCGCGCGCGCGCTGGCGCCCGGCACCTCGGGCGCTGCCATGGCATTGCGCATGGGCACCCCGCCCACCGAATGTAAATTCCGACGCGCCCCTCACGCGGATTGCGGTCCTATCGGGAGCTCCACCGATGGCCTCATCGGCTATGTCCACGCGCGGCCCGCCGCCCGTCGCGCGCCCGCGTCGGCCAGCCCCTCGCGCACTTCGTGGCCCCATCGGGGGCTCCGCCGATGGCCCCAGTGGCCATGTCCACCGCCCATGTCGGCGCGCCCCCGCGTGCTTCGCGGCCCGCGGGGAGCTCCACCGAAGGCCGCAGTGGCCATGTCCGCACGCGATCCCCTGCGCACATTCGGCACGCTGCGCGCGCGTTTCGCGGCCGCCAAGGGGGCCCCACCGAAGGCCCCAGTGGCCATGCCCGCGCGCCGCCCCGCGCGCCCCATGCCCATTTCGGCGCGCCCCTCGCGCGCTTCGCGGCCCTGCAGGGAGCTCCACCGAAGGCCCCAGTGGCCATGTCCATGCGCGGCCCCCCGCCCACCTGATGTTCGCGTCGGCGCACCCTTTCTGTCGTTTCGTGGTGCTCCTCGGACAAGCCCCAGTGGCGATGTCCACGTGCGGCCCCCCGCCCACCTCATGCCCATTTCGGCGCGCCCCTCGCGCGTTTCGTGGCCCTGCCGGGAGCTCCTCCGAAGGCCTCAGTGGCTGCGTTCGCCCATGCAGGCACGCCCCATCGCGCGTTTTGTTGCGCCAGAGGGAGCTCTGCCGAAGTCGCCAGTGCAACTTCCTGCGCGCGCCTGGGCCGCCCGTTTCGGCGCGCCCCTCGCGTGCTTCGCGGCCCCATCAGGTGTTCCACCGAGAATGGTACCCACCGCGCGGTACTCGTAGCTGCATCTGCTTGGGCCCATCGCCAGGCTAATTTTTGTTTTAGGAAGGGGGGGGGGGGGGGGGGGGCGCGCGCGCGGCGGGGGGGGGCGGGCGGGCGGGGCGCGGGCGTGGGACTCTCTTCGACGCGTGCCAAGACCGATCTGTCCGTTTCGTTTTCGCGGTTGCTGAGTGAGACAAAGCCGTGGCGGTCGAAACATGCGCGGTTGGCAGCGCGAGCGCGCGGTCGCCCGCGCGTGGATGTTTCCGCCAGCGCGTCTTCAGAATAGCGGCCTAGTGCGCGCGTTGCGCCGGCGGGGGCTGGGGGCGGCGGCGCGCCCTCATCGCGGCGAGCTCCGCCGGGAAACCGAGGGGAAAGACGCGCCCTCGCTGGCTCAGCAGCGGCATTGCGGGCGCGCCAAGCGAGCCCCCGTCGCCCCCCGCGCGTCTCTGTGATACCCTGGCCCGGCATGCTACGCGCGAGACGCCGACGCGACGTGCCCCGTGGGGGGCATCTCGCGCGCCGCGCGCGCGCGCAACGCGCTCCAATAATATCCCACGCGGTTTTCATCAGCGCGGGAAGTGTTTTTAAAGTACTCGGGCAGAGAAAATCAAGTGAATCAAGGTTTTAAACACATTAAATCTAGATTAAATACTTTTCGAATTGATCCTCAAGATTTCGGACTCCAAACATTTAAATCTAGATGTAATTGTTTCTTGTGTTTGACAGCAGCACAAGCAATTAAATCGAGATTTACTTGATCTGCTGTGTGGTGGCGCCCTCGCGGCTCCAGCTCCGTAAAGCCGTGGAGAGGCTCTGAGGGGGCCGTGGAGGGGCTTTGAGGGAGCCGTGGGGGGGCTCTGAGGGGGCCGTGGAGCTCTGAGGGAGCCGCGGAGTGGCTCTGAGGGAGCCGTGGAGAGGCTCTGAGGGAGCCGTGGAGAGGCTCTGAGGGAGCCGCGGAGTGGCTCTGAGGGAGCCGTGGAGCGGCTCTGAGGGAGCCGCAGAGGGGCTTTGAGGGAGCCGTGGAGAGGCTCTGAGGGAGCCGTTGGGAGGGTCTGAGGGAGCCGTGGGGTGGCTCTGAGGGAGCCGTGGGGTGGCTCTGAGGGAGCCGTGGAGAGGCTCTGAGGGAGCCGTGGAGAGGGCATGAGAGAGCCGTTGAGAGGGTCCGAGAGAGCCGTTGAGAAGGTCGGAGAGAGCCGTTGAAGGGGTCCGAGAGAGCCGTGGAGAAGCTCTGAGAGAGCTGTGGAGAAGCTCTGAGAGAGCCGTGGAGAGAGAAGCTCTAAAAGCCGTGGAGGTGCCCGGAGGCCCGGCGAACTCGAAACCCAGCGGCCGCAAGGGGCGCGCCCCTCAGGCGAGAATGTCCGAGGCGATGAAGCGCATGATGGGCCCGCCGCGTCTTGCGTTGCCGGCGTCGGGCCCCGGCGATTCAGCCCCGGCCGCCGCCGACGGCGCCGCCGCGCGGGCCCAGAGGCGGCCGCTGCTGCAGGACCTACCCTCCTGCCCGGCGGCCCCAACCGATCTAGCATTCCTCGGCAGCGCTACCAGCCTCGACAAGGACACGAACAACACTTGCATGGCAAGGGTCGGAGAGCAAGGCCGTTGCAAGCGACCGCGCCATTGGGGCAATTATTGCAAGCAGCATCATGAGATGGCCAAGGGTGACAAGAGCAACGCGCTGGGACAGCTCATCCGGTCTCTACACTGGGCCCTCAAGGGCGTTGCCAAGCAAGAGACTTACGACGCCGAGTACAACAGGGCCGCCCAAGACCGCATAGAGTCGTTCCACAAGGACAACCGCCGCGCGCGGGAGAGCCTGGAGCAAATCATTCCGCGTCTCCGCGAGAAAGGCCTTCGCCGCATTGACACCCCCGGCGACGGCAATTGCCAGTTCCACGCGCTCGTCGCAACCGCCGGACTGGACCTCGCGCACGCGCAGCTGCGCGCAGAAGTGTGCAAATACTTCAAGCAGTTCCCCGAGATGTTCGGGGCGTGGT